TATACGTTACTAACTTACGTTACTAGTACATACACTATTACTAAGTAATACGTAACAACACACACACACACACACACACACACACACACACACACACACACACACACACACACACACAGGATATGCGGATATGACAGAGCTAAATCCCAGATCAAATGAAGGCTCTTTGAGCAGGTTGTCTCTCAGTGATCGTGCTGTTATGTTAAATGTTTGTTGTTTGTTTTTCATGTCTTGTGTCTTGATATCTGTCTGTTGATGTTACACATGGAGCTGCTGTGGTGCCAGTCACATTTCAGACTTGATTTAACCAATAAAGTATTATCGTATCGTGTTGTACAAAGAATGGAAACGGAAGCTTTTTCAAGGATTATCAAAACGCTGATGATGTGTAAAGGTTAAAAGCTGACTCCACTTTCACTGAGAGACCATTTGTCAAACACACTGTTCAATGAGGATGTTCACCCTTTCACTCTTTAATATGTTTACACAGCACACACACACCCACAGCAGCGTGAATGAACACACACACACACACACACACACACACACACACACACAGCAGAATGAACACACACACACACACACACACACACACACACACACACACACACACACACACACACACACACACACACACACACACACACACACACACACACACACACACACACACACACACACACACACACACACACACACCAGATAATCTTCCTCTCTCACCGCATTCAAAAAATCCCTCAAAACCCACCTGTTCAACACTGCATTCAACCTCTGACCCCCCCCCCTGCCCTCTTTGCTGTTTTTGTTTGTCTCTTAAAGGTGGGGTAGGTAATTCACTTCAGAAACACTTTTTGTTATATTCCATGGAATGCTCTTAACATCCCGATAGCAATGAATACATTAAATGCTTTGACAATAAATACATAAAAAAATGTCCTCTGTGGAAGCCGTAGCGCTGTAAAAAGCACGACCAATCATCTGATTGTGTATTTTCAAACTCTAGCGCACTCCAGCTGGTTTCTCCATTCTTACCTACCCCACCTTTAATGTATTTTTTTTCGTTTTTAATTTGATTCTCTGTCAAAGCGTCTTTGCGTTTTTAGAAAATCGCTACATAAGTGTCATGTATTATTATTATTATTATTACCTGGAAGCAGCTATTTCCACTTTACTCCTGGCGATGGCTGCCGCTCTCTGCGCCGCCTCCACGGCTCGGTCCACCTTCTCTTTGGTTTTGGGGTTTTTAAGAGGAATCAACTGCTTCCTTATTCCACGCACCAGCACGTTATTTTTGTACTTCCCTTCTTCTTTGGTGGCGTCTGGGAAAACCGTGCACCCGTACCCGTGGCGCTTGTTGTTCAGCCATTCCCCCTCGTACTTCATCCCGTTGGATCTCTCCGAAACTCCAAATCCGTTTCGCTTGTCGTTCTTCCACTCGCCCATGTAGGTCTCGGTGGTGGTGGCGTCCACGTGGTCCTCCAGCGGTAAATCCTCGTCCGGCAGCTCTCCGTCACCGATAGAGATGGTGGAGTTGGCGTCGCTTGAGCTGATGCGACTCATTGCGGCGTCACTTCTCGCGGAGCTGCGTTTGCTGGAGATGGACGTCCGAGAGTCAGATTTCCTGAGCTGCCGGAGGCTCCCGAACAGCGATCCACGACGGAAGAGGCCCTTCTTCTTGGTGACGACCTCGCTGTCGGAGTGGAAGTTCAGCACGAAGCCGCCGCGACTTCCTGCGGGCGCGTCGCCGGGCGAGGAGAGGTCCTGCAGCACGTTGCCGTTACTCTGCTCGGAGCGAAGCGAGGCCAAGGAGGTGCGCAGAGGAGAGCGGATAACAGTCGCCATGCCGTACGGGACGCTCTGACGCACGCCGTAACCGTGTCGCATTCCCCCCATCCACTGACCCTGATAGGTACCTGAGGAGAGGAGACATGGGGATCAGATTAGTTACAACTACACCACTTCCTGATGGTTTTTAACTGATGGATGTTGACCTTATGACCCCTTGATAGGTACCTGAGGAGGAGGAGACATGGGGATCAGATTAGTTACAACACTACCCTTACTGATGGATTTCAAAATGTTGACCTTATGACCCTTTAATGAAGCATTGAGTGTGACTTCTCCTCACATGTTTCAATGAGTTTTCCTTCTCAAGTTATTCATGTGAATACTTTTGAAAACCATAAAGAAATTGTCATGAAACAAGCAAAGAGACCCTGATATATAGGTTCCTGAGGAGGCGGAGACATGGGGATCAGATTAGTTACAACACTACACTTACTGATGGATTTCAAAATGTTGACCTTATGACCCCTTTAAAAGTGTTTTAAAGGCCAAAGACTCAACAAAGTCTTAAAACAGGTTTAAATATCCTAATTCTGGGAATTGTAAAGAAAAGTGGTTTAAAGGTCAAAGATGGGTTGGGGTAACAGTGAAACAGGGACATGTGTTGTCTGGGGATGCAACATGATTGAAAGAGAAGGATGAAAGAAATACAAAAAGGTTAGAAAACCAATTCCTGATGGAGTTTAAAATGTTGACCTTATGACCCCTTTAATAAAGCATGGAGTGGGACTTCTTCTCACACGTCTCACAAGTTGTTCATGTGAATGCTTTTGAATACTTTAAAGATAGCAAACTATTTAAATTGTTCATGAAACAAGCAAAGATAACTTCTTTCCTGTCCTACTATGTAAATCATCTTGAGGTTTCTTGAAGGAAATCGGCGTTCAACTTGGTAGAAGCTACAGTATGTTATATTTCTGCTTGCTTAGAGTGAACAGCACTATTTGGGATAATTCATTACTTTACGACCTCATGTTATCAATCACTCACTGATCAATTCAAAGACAGTTAGCATCAGCTGGTACGACACAGCATAAAAAGACATTACCACCAACTTTTTTTTAACTTTCAATCAATTTATTTTGTCTTAATTTTTCCACTTTATCTCTTACTTGAAGGTCAATAGTTAACCTGACTGTTTATCCACTACTTCAAACAAACTATTTGCAACTGTTTATTATTTTGAACTAACTATTTTAGGCTAGCTATTTATGGAAAGGGTTAACAGCCACTGAGTATCCTACTATGCTCATCATTTGAACTTCTTTGTCATTACTTTTAGCTTTAACTTCTGTGCTCAATTCTAAGTTTTCATGCAACTTTTACATAACTGTATTGTTTACATGTTACTTCATATGTTACGCTATATTCTCTAAATGAAATCAAAATGTCTATTTGCTTTAAATACATGTAGCTACTTCAAGTGTCACTGATAACTTCGTATTAATAGCTTAACCTATTATACGAATGCTTTCAACTCGTTCCAGGGTAGAATCAACCCTTTAAGTGACACCAAGTTTCAATTCCTTTTTATGAAGAAGGTTTGTCTGTTTCCTCTGCATTTCTCTGGCCAGATATCCTCCACACCAGTCTTTGAGAGGAGCCTTGCAGCGGAGGATGTCGGCTAATGAAATGTTTTCTCTCCTTCCCTTCAGATCTGGGACTGTGAGCATAACTCAATCACAGAGATTTGATTAAGGTACTGATACTGAGGATCACTTGGGATGAATGTGAATCACTCAGCTCGGGGCCTATTTTCAGGCGGCCAATAACTCCCCCATTGACAGCCGCCGCTTGTCTGTGACGACCAGGAGTTGCTATGAGTCACATAATGAGAGCAATACTTCATTAATGTGCCGCTGAGCCCAGTGAGCATGTGCTGTCCTACTGTAGCTTCTTCAGAGCGTCGTATTACAACCATGATCCGAGTAATAAGAAAGGCCCGTTAAGCCGGCGCTCCAATCTCATTGAGGAAAACAATTAAATAATCCATAATGGGGAGATTCAAAGAGAAAGCGATACACGAGGCGGGCAGGACTCGGCGAGGATCAACAGGGCGAGATTAACAGGCTGGCTCTGCGCTGGGTGACCCTGCAGATCAACTTATCAGGATGTTCGGGGTCAGACAGCCAGATGTTCTGCCTCTGGATCAGCTGATTGCACAAGCCCGACCCTCTGCAGCCATCATATGTGAGGCATTTACTGTGCAGCATACGGGCCCCGTCAGGAGAGGATGCTCACAAATCGCCCAAAGACTTAAGAGGTTTCATAACCAGAAAGGACTGTGTGTGTGTAGTGTTTAGAGTCTGTGATACCGGCTGTTTCTGAACACACAGGTCTAATACAGGCTGTGAACACACCCTTTCACTGACCTCTCACTTGGTTGAATCGTGGATGACAGATGTATGTGTGTTTTCAGCACAGTGGAAAGCTCTTAAGTTTAAAAAGAGATGTAGAAAATCAGAAAATGCATCCAAGGTGTATAAACTAGGGATGCACAATATAGTACCAATAAATGATCATAAACATAATCTATTTGGGAGTAAATGGGGATGCATGTACAAAAAAAAGTTGTTTACAATGACATTATAGGGTCAGTCTACTAAATGATTGTCTGTTATCTGCAGACCAAGCCGTATTATTGGGTATTTAATACATTGACATGTCTTACAGTGTATATCGATGTATGTTGCAGTGTAACAATAAATGCAATTTCTTTGTTTTCCTTGCGTTAACAACTTGTCAGTTAGAGTTATGGGATATTCAATCCCACATTTCAGGTGTGCATGATAAGCTTCATGTTTTTAAACCACAATCATGTGAAGTTACAGGTTATCTTATTGATATAACACATGAGGATCAGGTAGTATTGGCTTAAAAGACATCCATATGGTGCATCCCCAGTGAAAACACCTCTGAACTATCTTTAAAAGAGGCACCATCTCAAATCAATCTTTGGAAATGTTAGCATTCATTCAAAAGCTTCAATTTAAGAGGTGTGTCATTGCAGCTGAGTGTGAAATGATAGAGGAGGAGGTGATACTCTGGCTATTATTGGCTCCAAACCGACTGATTTGCTCTGATTTCAAACTATCCGGGGCATGGTACCACCCCCCTCCCTCTGTCATATGAGCAGCAACCGGTAGCTGCCAAACGAGAGGAGCATTGGAAGAGGACCCATTACATGAATCTGTATCAGCGAGTAAACACAGTGATAAGAAAGAAGTCATATTTTAGGGAAGGGGGGGTACATGATGATGCTTGACCACTGCGCAGTGCGCCATATCAACACAGATCATATCAGACTCATGATGCATCTCCATGAGCATCCTCACATCAGCTGTTAAAGCGACACACACACATACACACACATTAAGGATGTCTCACCGCCATCTCCGTAGGTCTCGATCCCGTACCCGTCCTGCAGCCCGTTGCTCCAGGTGCCATCGTATCTCGCAGGTGTGTTGTGGCTCTGGCGGATCCCGTATCTCCCTTTAAAGCCATGACTCCACTCCCCGCGGTACATCCACTTCCCCTTATTCTCCACACCGAGTCCATGCCGCTTCCCCTGGGACCAGTAGCCCCGGTAGGTGTTCCCGCTGGGCCAGGTGTACACCCCCACTATCTCGAATCCGTGCGACCAGGACCCCGCGTACTCGCCCTGGCCCTTGGGTCCGGTGCAGATGCCGTGTCCGTGGGCTTTTCCATCCTCCCACCCCCCGCAGTAAGTGCCACCGTCGTCGAAGTCAAACCTTCCGCCCGTCATTCAGAGTCAGGATCCAGGTGAGATGCACAGGACGATCCGACCAGAGGATGACCACTGGAAGGGGCAGAAACAGAGAGCAGGGTGAGGCTGGACGTCCACATGCGTAACGGCGCGGGAAGGTGTGAACGCGGGCGGTTTTTTTTTTACCGGAGGCGCACGCCGGGTTCTCCGCTGTGTGCTGCTTTCTCCCCCCTCTCTCACCCACTGATCAGAGGGAGAGAGAGGAGGCCAGTCGCTGCCGAGGAGAGACACTGGGCCAATCGCAACGTCAAGATACAAAGACCTCCCCCTTTTAACTCTATACCTCCCCCCTCAGGGAAGAGCCAAAACCTCCCTCTCTTAAATGTTTTTACTTTCAATTCCAACATTACAATTCCTCTTAATACTCAAATAATTGTAATATTGGTTTATGATACTCTTGTAAGCCATAGTTACACATTAATCCCCATGACAATAATTTTTAACGGCTGTTTTACAGAATAATAAACATAGTGCAACATACTGTTTGATTGTATTCCCAAGGTTTTGACTACAAGATATTTAATTGGAGGAAAACTAGTGCATCTTGGGATCTTTGGATAGTCTTTTTACTGTCAGGAGGTAACACAGTGTGTGTTGCAGTGAGTGGGTGCACAGCGTGTTTTGGTTATGATTGCAAAAGCCCATGTGACTTCAAAATGACTCAATAAGAATACAAATATAAATGGGAAGCAGTGATAAATATTGGATTTATGGTCCTGTTATGTTCCTAAATAATCTAACACTATCGTTAGAATTTATTGTACAGTATGTCTTTAATTTTGTATTTTATTTTTGTATTTTTGTATTTATTTAATCGTTTATTTGGCAGGGACAATGCACAGTAATGAACACTTAAAACCTTCAAATATATAAAGTGTAACAGCTGTGCCAGATGTAGCTTTGAGCTCATTTCCATCCGCAGTCCCTCACATAAAACACTTAAGAAAACTACATTTTACAAACATAGCAAAAACAAAATACATGATGTGCAAAAGGTGCAAAAGAGCAAGAGCAGCATACACAAGTATTTATGACATAAATACAGTCCATGTAAACATTTATAAATAAAACACATACTTTTAAAAGACTTAAAACGGTCAAAGCTCAAGAAATCGTGCTTTTAAAGGATGGTACAGTAGTGGTATGAATAAGGATTTATTTTTAAATGTATTTATTAAGATTTATTTTCTTTTATCTTATTAACTTTGTATACTGTTTTTAAATATACAATCCTACATATTTGATATAAGCTGTGTTATATCTGTGAATGTAAATGAATGTTATTGTGCTATTATTGTTTCATATAAATGGATCCAAGCCTTGAAGAAAAGACAATTCACTTTTACTATAATACATATCACCAGCTGATGACCAGAACAGTTCCTCTCACTTTGAAGAAATAGAGAACAGCGACCCCTGCTGTCCAGATGCATTTATTGCAAAGCTGGAGCTGGTAAATATTAAAATATTAAAATGTTTAAAATCTGTAATGTGAAAGTTTGAAATGTGAGCTTATATTTAGTTTTTAAAGATATTAAAAACATATATCACTTACATTTTCTATTGAGTTATTATTAATTGTAGTATATTACCTATTTTTTTTTATGGAAATACACAGTTTTGTTATAGTTTCCTTAGCCCATTGCGAAATACATTTATATTCAAAACGTTTTTTTATTAAAAAGCAGATTTAACAATGGAAAAAAAAGAGCGTAAACATGAAGTATTGTGGTCCCCGGTTTTGTGTTTTCGTGTTCTACTTGTATGTGTTATATATTTGTCGAATGAAAAATAAAGAGTTTTAAAAAAAGAGAAGCATGTGTAATTCCCCTCCCCGCCAGCAGGGGGCGTTTGATTCGTTCACCGTGTTGTGGTGTGCTCTCCTCTCTCTCGTCCCTCACACACACTAACGGAGAAAATGGCGTTTGAAAACCCTCCTGAAACCCAAGAAGAGACAGCCTCTCTGATAGAGAAGCTTCCAGAACAAGATGCACATCGGGGATGTTCCTCAGTGGCCGAACAAAGAGGGAACCAACTCATTTTGTACCACTGGACCCAGTCCTTTAACTCCCAGAAGGTGAGGGTCTTCTTCGCTTCAGCACCTCTGCAGGGGACAGCTCTTTTATAAGAAGCCTAATTAAATCCTTCTGTGTAACAAAACCATTATAAATAATGTCATTAGTGTCAGGAAATGTAGATATTTAGAGCTCCTTATTACCTGTGAACACTGCCATTGTGTCTCTTGGTTAAACTGTTGTCTCATTGAAGAGAATTCATACTTTATTGATAATAAAATCTCACTCTTTTTCAATTTCAGCACCACTGAAAGGGACAGCTCCTCAATTAGGATTCATTAGATCTATAGTTTCATCTTTATGGTGTTATAATTATTCAAGTTTGTCTGGAAAGCTGTAGATATTTAGACATCTTAGTTACATGTGCACACTGCTATTGATCCTGATGGTCAAATCTGTACTTTATTGCAGACATATTCTCTGTTTTGGCCTCAGACTCGGTCACAACTGGAAGAAAATCTTGATATTCAAGTGTCTTTTAACCTGTTAAGCCCTGAGCCTGTTTTTCAGAACATGTTAAGAACATGAATCTTTAGTATACCTCTGAATTAATGTCCACTTTCTTGTGAACATGCACAATTTAGTTATACTAACTTATACTTCATCTGTTAATGGCACTGATTATATACTTGTAAAAAGCTATTTTTATATAAGTCCATTGTGCTTTCAGGGAGATAGCTATGTGAGTTGTTTTTAATTGTTATATTAATACTTATGTTACTTTGTTTATTTAAATGCATTTCTTTTTATACCACCGCATGGTTTATCTGTCTTTTTTAAATTGTAACATTTGAGAATATAAAAATGCACATGCTATAATCCAGCATAAACAAGAGCACTAAGTGTTGGAATAACAAAACTTTATCATCTTTTTGTTTTGGATCTGGAGACACAAAATTATTTTTTATAGTGTATTTACATTATCTGTCTTCTAATAGTAATTTGTGAGGAACTTAAATACGTACGCTATCATTTAAGAGCAAAAGGTGTAGGAATAAGGCGACTTAATCATCTTTTTAGAGTATTTTTTATAGTGTATTTACATATGCACTTTGTGAGGAACTTAAATACGTACGCTATCATCTTGAATGAACAGAAGCACTCAGTGTAGGAACAAGGAGACTTTATCCTCTTTTGGATGTGGAGGGAAAACAGTATTCTTCATGTGTGTTTCCGTGTACTTCCATGTTCTCTGCAGGTGCGTCTGGCCATCGCAGAGAAGGGTCTTCGCTGTAAGGAATACGATGTGAGTTTGCCGCTCAGCGAACACAACGAGCCGTGGTTTATGCACCTGAACCCGACCGGAGAGGTGCCCGTGCTCGTGCACGAAGAAAATATCCTCTGTGACCCCGTGCACATCATGGACTACCTGGAGCACACCTTCACTGAGGGTGAGAGGAAATACACAACTTAAATATATATAGAAAGTCCAAGACGTTGTTTTTCTTTATTCCAAGTTTTTAAATTATGATTTGTTTTGCATGCATTCATTTCTTTATTTTATTTTCCGTTCTCTCTTGGTTTGCACTGATCCATCATAGCTTTGTTCTAAGAAACTCATCAAGTCGCCATCAAAGGAGAAAGTCTGGTAAGCATTGATCGAGCATTTGTGGCCCTTGAGTTGTCTTTTCTTTGACTTTGTGTAAAACCACTTTTTGTTAGAAAACTCTCCCTGGTCCCCGGCTTGATCTTCAACATCAGGATCCATGTATCTGTGATCCTCTCCAGAATGGAAGTAGTCATCACATACAGAGCATCAAGTAGTTCCTGAACAGTGTCCTTCACATGCTGATATCCAAGAGAGGGAGTTCCACAGTCACAAGATGGAGGAATAGAAAGCAGTATTCAATGTTTACTTCAGATTAGCTCCACGTCAGAAATGATCATGCTTGTCATATGTCTCTCTCCATAGAGGCTGAATCATCATGTTACACACATAGCTATTATATGCCTCAAACAGTCCTGATGCTCTTCTAGGTAATCACACATCCTGTCATGTTCACAGCTACAGTTGTTATAC